CATCTCAGTTTCATTTTTCATTAAATGACACATCACAAATGTAATCTGAATAATATACATTTATTAAGTTTCTTTCATAGCTACATTCCCAAAAATTAACTAGTTACAAAACAACACAGAAATATTTTGGGTTGACAGTTTCACTTGCTTTGTACAAACGTCTTTAAATTTTCGTGTCATTATTAACCGAATCTGTGCTTCTATCAGACGTGGAAACTTATCCAAGTTATACCTTAGGAGAGAATAACTAAGTTTTAAAATACTTAACAGCAGTAACTAAAGTAGACTTTATAACCAAATGGCTTGTTACGAATTATTATGGTTATAGTTGTATATTTTTACTAAAATAACGAATTTTAACAGATGGCGCTAAAAATATACAGTGGAAAGCTTTTCACAGAATTTCCAACCCAGAAAATAATGAAAAGAGGCAGGTCTGAAACTAGGTGGTGAAATATTTCTGTAATGTTACATACTTAATGCACATGTCATAGAATGAGAAAAAACAACAACACTACACCAGCTTAAGTTGTTCAAAAGCAACTCTAAGTATTTTAAACATATACGCAGATATGAAACAAGAAACTATTTTAGTTCTGTCTTACTGTCAATTTATGTGAGTAGTTCATAAAGTTTCAGAAATAAAAGAAAAATTATGATCAGTCATCAGTCCAATCTTCTCATTATGCAAATTTAAAATCCCATTCCTGTACATGTAAAACTGCTCTATATAGAAAAACTTATAAACATTCTTACAATAATGAATTCAACTTTTAGTATTTATCAAGTAACAAAAGATGGCGTCCTGATTTGTTTGGAGAAAAGTATATTAATCAAACTGAAGAATATCTTTGAATGTTTATCCAGTTTATTCACTTATTATTTCAGCCCCCTAGTAGCACAGTGGTAAGTCTGCGGATTTATAACGCCAGAAACTGGGTGTCGATACCCGTGGTGAGCACAGCACAGATGTGTAGCTTTGTGCTTAACTACAAACAAACTGTTATTTTAACATGCTGGGATAAGAAATGTTCATTCTTGTGAACTACCTTATACAGAAAATGTACATCAGTGTAATCATATTCTAACAAACATATAGTCTAAAACCACTGAAGCATAACAACAAACAAACAAAACTAAGCGGTAACTACTTTCATTAAATACGAACATCATTAAAGTTGAGCACTAGTTCTAAACTAAAAAAAGACATTTCACAGTAAAAAAATAAATAAAGTACGTAGGAAAAATATTTGAATTTTAAGAATTGACTTCATATACCATGAGCCCCCCCACCCCAGTGGCACAGGGGTATGGCTGCGGACTTGCAACGCTAGAATCCGGGTTTCGATACCCACCATGGGATAGCCCATTGTGTAGCTTTGTGTTTAATTACAAACAAACATATACCCCAAAGCTACAGTCTCGCAATACGTGGCTACAATACGTTCATTTCTTAAACAAAAAATATAGCACATAAATTATACTCTTTCATAAAGAAACTACATCATTTCATAAGAAAAGAAGTTATCATAATCTAATCACACGCTTTATTGCACTTTTGTTTCTAGTTATTCCAGTTTTTCCATTCGGCTTGTACTGGCATCTGGTATCACCAACTTTCTAACATATATAACTCAGTCCTTTCAAATCACTACTGTTTCCACACTACTAACAGTGAAACAAAAGTTATGATGATGACGACATATATTTAATTATATATATATTGAGATTAACGAAATCTCATGTTTTTGTTCGCCTTATATTATTTCATCTACTTTGATAAGATTACCCAACACTAATCCCCAGAGCTAGAAAGCATATGCATAACGATTAAGAAGGTCTAATCGAAAGTAAAGCAGTTGTATAAAGTTGGACGTTACAAATGACTTAAAATGTTAATAGACCTGATAAGTAATACATATTACAACAGTAAGTACTTGTTACAAACATTGAATAATCTAGTTTTGTGAGTGTAATGTATTATTTCGCATAAATTTCATAATCTGCATAACTCCTCCAATACTAAAACAATGTATCTATTTCGCATAACAAGTCGATCCTGCATAACGGGTTAAAATACGTATGTATTCACACAATGAGTAAAACCTGCATAACAGATTCATTCTGCACAATAGATCGACTCTGCATAACAACTTATCATCAAGTTCACTATGCATAACAAATAAATCTTGCAAGGCAAGTTAGAAAGGGCTGATTCTGCATAATGGATCAATTCTGCATAACATGTCGATTGAGCATAACGGGTTGATTCTGCGTATGTTATGCAGAATCAACCTATTATGCAAAAGTAACACGTAGTTTGATTTGTTATGCAGGATTCACCTGTTTTGCAGAATAAAATTATATGGTAACTAATTATTTTGAATCGACCTATCACCAGAATCGATCCATTATGCAGTATCCAACCACATTTTAAATCGTTACGAAGATTCGGCCTGTTATGCAGAATATCGATATCATAAAGAAACGACCCGTTATGTAGAATACCCTCATATTTTAACTCGTTATGAACAGTCAACCATTTAGGCAGTATTCAAAAGGTACACAGAATCGATCCATTATGTAAAATAGTTTTATATTTTAATATTTTAATTTTTTATGCAGAATCGATTTGTTATGCAGAATACATCCATATTTCAATTCGTTATGCAGAATGTTATGCATAATCAACTCAATATGCAGAATTGAGATAATATTTTGGTTTAGTGACGTTATTCCAAATTGGAAGGACTTATGTAAATTAGTGTTATGAAATTAGGTGTAAGGAACATCAGTTCGGTTTGAGAAAGATGAGAAAGTGGCCTGCATTTTGACACTCTTTAAGGAGTTAGGGGATTACAACAGTTTAAGTCATTAGAAAATTATTGGAGTGAGGGGATACCTTTTGAGCTCCATTCTCTAAAGTTGTAGAGCCCCCTCCCCCAATGGCACAGCGGTATGTCTGCGGATTTACAATGCTAGAATCAGGGTTTCGATATCCGTGGTGGGCAGAGCACAGATTGTGTTGCTTTGTGCTTAATTACAAACAAACAAACTAAAGTTGTAGAAGATTCTCGAGTGTAAGAATCAACAATATATGTGTATACGTGAACGCTAGTGTTAGCGTCAGTATTTTTACGTAAAACTGGAATTTCGAGAAACTCTCCACACGCCTATAAATATAAACAACGCGACGCGCCAAAAAAAAAAAGAGTATCTATTATTGGTTTTTTATAGTTGATGTGCTATAAACTTCGGAAGCTATAACTGTGATTGTTATAACACTTATTAATCGGGGAACTTAAGATATTTTACCAGGAACGTTTATAAATTTCGAACATTACAAACCATTTAACTTCAGTGAATTCACATCGGACATGAGTACTTTCACGAAAACATTACCTAATGTCATCGGTGGAAACTCGACCTATAATTGGCGTGTGATCAGCGAGAACTAGAGGTCTAGCTAGCTCCCTGTTAAGTGAATTATACCTACGTCAACTCGAAATTAACTCGCTCATCGTCAACCCTCGATAAGACATCAAGGAAATTCCAGACTAGAAAGAAGACTTTATATTGCTTGTAAGTTTGTGAAACTTTTGCTTATAAATCATCGTTCATAATAACTATTTGTAATAACTGTCATTGTAAATTGTATTGTTGTTTGTATATTAAAATATATTTGTATTAAAAAAATTGTGTGTATCAATCTTGTTGGCAGATATCATAAATTAGAGATATATCGGCAAATATTTAACTATTAAATCTAAATTACAATCTAAAACTCAGTTTTAGGCTATTTGAAATTGTCACATGTAACAATAAATATAGGAATTAATGACACAAATAACTCTCTCTGCAGCCACTGTCGAATATAATAAACATAGGCAGTAATGACATAAATAACCATCTCTATAGTGAGTGGGCCTGGCATGGTCTGGCGGCGTTATAATGTGACTGTCATTCCCATTATTCGTTGGTAAAAGAGCAGCCCAAGAGATGGCGGTGGGTGGTGTTGACTAGCTGCCTTTCCTCTAGTCTATCACTGCTAAAGTAGATACGGTTAGCGCAGATAGCCATCGTGCAGCTTAGCGCGAAATTCAAACCAAACATAAGTCTACAGTTACCTGAGGCACTAGTGACAGAAACGCCTATGTCTACAGGTACCATGTTTTAAAATCCCAGAAAGTAATGACAGAAATAACGACCTCTACAGTCATTGTCGTACACAAATATAGGCAGTAATGACATGATTAACAGTTATCGTCTTCTAAATTTTTTACAGTAGTCATCGAAACAAAAACTGTGAAATATTATTTTGTATTAAAAACTCAACAAGTAATCACAAAAATGATCTCTTCGTACACAAACACAGGCAGTAATGTTACGAAATAACTATCTCTACATTTGTCATCTTGGAAATCGTTTGCAATGATCACAGAAATAAAAAGTGTGAGCTATTATTTTGTATTAAAATCCCGGTAATTAGTGGCAAGATGTATCAGGTACACGAGTACCAGCTATAAACAACAACGTTAGAATTAGCATAAGTTCAAGGTATTCTACCTCTGTTTATTGATCTCGGATCACAAACTGTCGATGACGTTTGTTGAGTATGATATGTACGAGGTATGTTTTAGGGCTCATGAGCCTCAAATAAACATACTTTCCTGTAGTATATTTGAAGCAGCTTCAGTTAATCAGTTGGTTTATTGAAGCTTGGAAACTAGAGTATTTTGATGTCGTACTTGTATACTTTTATTGTTCTTCAAATGGAGTTTGGAAGTTGGAGTGTTTTAACGCTTTGCTTGTAGAATACTTAGTTCGACATTTGGTGCTTGAAAGTTTGTTTTAGACTGTTCACACAATACTACTCGAAGACTACCGGCATATGGCTGACATTACTTTTGAGCTGAAAAATATAGAGAGGAGGCTGTTATTCAAGAACACTTGTTGTCAACTCTTCGAATGCTATTGTCTAACCGACTAGTGAGATTTGACTGTCACACGAGCACGTATTTGCGGCAATGGGACGTGAGCATTGAACTCACTGATTCACAGTACGAGCATCTAAACGTTAGACCTGTAGGATATCTAAAAGGTTTTCGAAGTAAGTAGGTTTATTATTAAAAACTCATATATAAGTACGTTTAAAATCTACAAAAATATAACTTCAATAAGAAACAAAATATCAAAAATAAGTTTCAACAACCATACATATTTATTGAACATTTAGTCAGAATGAAGTACTGATTAACCTACACCACGTTATTAGATCCAAATCTAAAAACCCAAATAAGAAAACTGAGCCGTATATTTCAAGTAGAACTGTATATCTATGCTGCTACTTTTTAAATAAATACAGGGTGTCCATAAAGTCTGGAGTTAATGTATACATAATTTATTTAAAGACATAGTTTCAATATATGTTCAAAATGGCCACCGCCAAGTTCAAAACATATTTTATTTAAAGACCCAGTTACAATATCTGTTCAAAATAGCCACCGCCAAGTTCAAAACATATTTGTAAACGATTCAGAAGGATTGAGATATTGGATTTTTTTCAGGGTGTTTGTTATTGAACTTCGCAGCTATTTCTCTCTTTTAAGCTTAACGACATGATTATTACGTATGGGTAACACAAACCTGCAACAAAAATAAATAAAACATAAAAATTAATAAAAATGTTTCAAATAAAATAAGTTTACATTGATTCCAAACTTTATGGACACTCTGTAGAGCAGTGGCTGTATTTTATTCTGGTTCTACTTGCCAATAAAATACAGCCCGTGTTGTACCCTGGTTCTACTTGTTTGATACACTGACTGGTAAATGAAACTGAAATTGAACTCTTATTGCATCTTAATTATGAACTTTTTAGATGGACATACGTAACTGAAGGAACTTAATGGATTGCATAACAGTTTATATTTTCAACTACATTCTTCTCGTTCTTAGTTAACGTAAAATTCAACAAATGGCAAAGTGAGTTCATAGTAAACGGTTTCAGCCCCTTGTCCTTCAACATGAACGAACATCAGGATTACATGCATGTCTTTGTACTGTGATCTATGTAATATGAAACAGTTACTAAAACTATAACTTATCTACAATATTTTAATTCATTTCAATATATTTTAGGAGGAAAACCTTTATTACAACTGGTATCCGTACTCCACTTATTGATAACGTTTGATCTAAATTAAGATAAGTATGTAGTTAGAATTTGAAATTAGACTATAAAATAACCAAGGTAATTCTATACACAAAAAACTGAAAAAAAGTACTTAATATATTTTATGAGGATTTATTACGACTTTTTATTATAATTCATTGTTCAATTTCATTTTATTAATTTTTTTCCAAACATTTACTTTGTTTATTTACTGTATTGATTGGTTACGTTTCATAAAGTTTATCTTACGAAACATTTACCACAACTTGCTTCTTTACTGCATTGTTTGATTGCGTTTTATGAGGTTTGTTGTACTAAACATTTACTAGAACTTGACAATAATAAATGATTTGAGCTAATGAGAACTTTTACTTGGAAACTTTTACCACAACTTGCTTCTTTACTGCATTGTTTGATTGCGTTTTATGAGGTTTGTTGTACTAAACATTTACTAGAACTTGACAATAATAAATGATTTGGGTTAATGAGAACTTTTACCAGAAATTTAATTTTATTACAATGTACGACTTGTTTTTTTATTTTTCATGACGGATTTCATATCCTATTTTGTAACCTTTGAAATTATACTGGCTTTATTCCCAAGTAAGTTAATGAAAGTTACCATGCGATTTAACTTATTGTTTAAAATGGTGTTTACTACTATAGAACAATTTTCTAGACAGCATGTCTACGTTTTGTTAGAAAAGTTATGTAAATTAGATAAATAACAAACACTTAGAGACGGTGTGGCGGTAGACCATTACAGATCACGAAAATAATACCACGCCCTCGCAGAAAACAAACCCTCAGCTAAAATTGACTTTCAGTTTATAAAATTCAAATTCATGTAAAATACATGTGTTGTATAGGTAGCTTACCGAAGATAGTCTGTAGCATAGGATTTCTGTACATTGCTTTTGTCTTTTCGTTTATATTTCCATTGATATAAGAGATTCGTTGCTAGGAGCAACAAGCGTGCTAAGTTGCTGATCGATAGTTTAAGTTCCACACAGAGATGGCTCTATTCGAGCCACATGTTTGTGATAAATAAGGTTACCTGTTGAAGATGTCACACATTCAGAACGACCTTATCAGAACTAGTTTATTAATGTCATCGTCTTGTCTTTTCCCATCAGAACGACTTTATCAGAACTAGTCTATTAATGTCATCGTCTTGTCATTTCCTATTAATGTCATCGTTTTGTCTTTTCCTATCAGAACGCCCTTATCAGTACTAGTCTATTAATGTCATCGTCTTGTCTTTTCCTATCAGAACTAGTGTATTAATGTCATCGTCTTGTATTTTCCTATCAGAACAACCTTATCAGAATTAGTCTATTAATGTCATCGTTTTGTCTTTTCCTATCAGAACTAGTTTATTAATGTTATCATCTTGTCTTTTCCTATCAGAACTAGTGTATTAATGTCATCGTTTTGTCTTTTCCTATCAGAACGCCCTTATCAGTACTAGTCTATTAATGTCAATCGTCTTGTCTTTTCCTATCAGAACAACCTTATCAGAATTAGTCTATTAATGTCATCGTCTTGTCTTTTCCTATCAGAACTAGTTTATTAATGTTATCGTCTTGTCTTTTCCTATCAGAACTAGTGTATTAATGTCATCGTCTTGTCTTTTCCTATCAGAACTAGTGTATTAATGTCATCGTCTTGTCTTTTCCTATCAGAACTAGTGTATTAATGTCATCGTCTTGTCTTTTCC